CTACTTACTACTTACTACTTACTACTTACTACTTACTACTTACTACTACTTGCTACTACTACTACTTGCTACTACTACCTACTACTACTCACTACTACTCACTACTACTTACTACTACTACTACTACTACTACTACTTACTACTACCACCTGCTACTACTACTACTACCTACTACTACTTACTACTACCACCTACTACTGCTACTTGCTACTACTGCTACTTGCTACTACTTACATGCTACTACCTATATACTACTACTTACTACTACTACTACTACTACTACTACTACTACTACTTAGTACTACGTACTACTTAGTACTACGTACTACTACTTATTACTACTTACTACTAGTTACTACTACTTACTACTTAGTACTACTTAGTACTACTTAGTACTACGTACTACTACTTACTACTACTTTCTACTACTTACTACTACTTACTACTACTTACTACTACTTACTACTTACTACTTACTACTTACTACTTACTACTTACTACTACTATTATTACTACTACTACTACTACAACTACAACTACTACTTCTACTACTACTACTACTACTTCTACGACTACGACGACTACTACTACTTCTACTACGACTACGACTACGACTACGACTACTACCACTACGAGTACGACTACGACTACTACTACTACTACTACTGCTACTACTACTACTACTACTACTACTACTACTCGTCATACTACTAGGTTGGCGACCCTTTTGGCCGCCGTTGGGAGTCTTTTTTTCAATATGTTTTTCAAGTACAGCAAGAAGATGCAAGAAGCATCTTTTCAGAAAGGAATGGGCAAACATCCATGATTGCAAAATCGGAATATTATATGCTCGTTTCGTAACAGCAACGCACCCACTCTCTGTTTGTCAACGAGTTCAACTATTCCACACCTAGTGCACTTCCTTGAAGCATTGGATATCTGTCCGTCAAGACACGTTGACATCAAGCTTGAATCGATGTTCGATGTTTTTGTCCTTTCCAACAGCCGACGAACGGACCACAAGCTGAACTGTCAAGGAAACTAAACTCTGAACTTATTGAGGCGCCGTGGCAAAAAAAAAACACAGACCCATCCAAAAAGATTGAAAATCAGAATTGTCAACGTAGCGAACAGGTGACGTGTGCATGTGCAAGGAAGGCCAGCATCCCCACCCCCAATCCCATCACTGGCATGGCGCATGCAAGCTGATCACTGCAAGTCAACGTGACGTGTACATGTGCAACAATGAACCTGCCGAACCAACCAAAACCTGAAAATGCCTTAAACGAAAAGGTCACCTGCCTACTCCTATATATAACTACTACTAACAACAGCTGCTACTACTACCACTCCTCATACTAGCATCTACAGACCGCCCAGGCGAACCAGCGGACTATCAATCATTGAGAATTTTGGAGTTTGGGTTTTAGGTTTGAGGGTGTCTCTCACCAAAGTCAGGTTTGTGGTGCGATTAGCACGGAGTTTGTCATAGCCATAGCAAGTTAGCCTTTTGTCGACAAAATCCATCATTGAGAAGATTCGGAAGCCAAAGTTTGCGCCTAAAATAGCAGTTTGATGTAGTTTGTGTTTGTGTTGTTCTTTCAGCGAGTTTGTCACTTCCCCTCAAAGCTATTGAAACGGTTGGTAGATGCTGGCCGTGGTGCTGCTACTGCTGCTGCTGCTACTGTCACCGTGACTCCCGGTCAAACTTCCCAAGAGAGTAGCCTACTGCAACCAATTGCTACCTTGTGGAGTCCTGGAGGTCAGCCTGTTGTTCGGGTACCGTTTGGACATCGAATTGATGGAGAAACCAGTCGAAGGACTCGCCTCTCGTGGTTGGTCCGCCTCAAGGGAAAGGACCATCCATATTTTCATTTTTTGAGGTATTGCCGCTAAGAGTCAACCCACAAACTCACAGGGAAAGAGACAAGCTGGTACATGCCTCCAATACAACATGTAAAAGCATCGCTCTCTGCTCCATGGGCATTTAAGGAGTGTCACAGGCGCGGTGATGCGGGGGTCCTGACAGATACCCTTCTAAGTGCGGCGACGTCCAAAAGATTCAGGCTAATAACCACTTCATGAACCTTCCCGTTTGGACCCATTCATCACCTCGTCTTGCAGTCCAAGAAAGCCTCATGGCGAGAGCACGAGCCAATGACAAAGTCAATGGCTCACAAAAAAGAAGTCAGCTGCTGCTGATCCAAGACATACAAAGTGTTTGCAGAACAGAACTTCTTGTCGAAGATATCCTAGTTCCTTCACCTGAAGATCAGCTGGATGGTGCTTCTCGTGTTTTTCCTTCAGACCTTTGACCATCTGACAGATCCACAGTTGGGTCTGTCAGTTTTGTTTGATGCTTTCGCGATCGTGTCAGTTTGAAGTTGAACAATCAGCGATTGAGACATGGTAAACCATACTTTGGAGTTTTGCAAGGTCTGAGATGATTCCAATTGGATGCGCCTTCGATTAGCATGGTTGCGTGCTTTCCAGTTGAAAAACAAAAGGTTGGGCAGCTTTGTGCGGCTCAAAAGCGGGAAATGGGCCGAACCAGCCGATACGTTTTGCTGCGTAATCAAGGCGAACTTATTGGTGTGTGTCTTCCAGACTTGTGTTGGTGATCAGTGATGCTCTCAAGCTTAGATGCATGGCTATGCGGGAAGTAGGCCAGTCCACTCCATCAACCTGAACTCGAGGTGAAGCCGATGCAGCAAGACTAGACTCTAGTAGGGTGAACCGCCAGCTAACCGCTGCCGAACTATCCCCATCCCTCCGGGCCCTCCGTACGCGCCCCTCAGTCAGGGTGCTCACGTAGCGAATCGCAAGGTGCAGCAGAGCGCCCGTGAGAGTCTTCAAAACTCCTCCCGGCTCTTGTTGGAGAAGGGACACCCTCTCAGGTCGATGGATCTGGTTGGAAGGGTGGGACATGGTGGGATATGGTGGGATGAGGAGATCGCCATGGGCGCTCAAGCCTTGTTGCGCATGAGTGAATCTGAACTTGAAGCTAAATAAGCTCAGGTGAAGTGAGATTAAGTAAGGCCAATCATTTGGCAATGCATATATAATCTGGAAACAAAGGACTCCCCAACCATTAATTAGGTTGTCATTTGATGTGTCCAGTCTTAGAGGGGGTTGCCCGTCAGTTTCTCCAGGAAAGGCTTACAATATACCAAGCTCGCTTCTCGAAGAAAGGACCAGGCAAACTGATGATCTCAAACAGGCCCGCACGTCACCACTTGCTTTGCGAAGGATTCAACAGAAGCGGTTCCCTTCAACTTTTGTAGTTGAAAGTTCATGCCAACACAGATCCCAGCTGGACTGAAAGCTTTATCTCTTGTTTGTTCGGCCCAGTCATTGAGTGTTTTGGCTGCCAGGTGGCTGTTGGTCCCATGGGTGCTCCTTTTGCTCCCGTTAATTGTCGCTCGGAAGGCAAACAATGATGTCTTTTTGGGTGGGGATGCTATCTTCCCGAATGCAGAGCAGATACATAGATGTTTGGACAATTGTTAGTCAAAAATTGTGGTCTCAAAGTTTGGCGTTGTTGAGATGCATTTTCCGGTTGGTAGGAATCTTTGTATTGTTTCAATGGTTACTCACCGTTTGGAAGATACAGTCTACGAACATAACATAACATGGCAGTACGGTACACCCAGTAGCTCAAGAAGAACACATGTTTCACGAAGAAGCCTATCACATCTCTTGACGGTCAGCGCACGCCTTTGTTTGCGTGCTTGGGGCTACCTCGGGGCCATCGCCAAGTCTTGCAGTCGTTTGGGGAACGGCAGGTGAGGCTGAACGCGCGTGGGTATGTAGTCAGTGATGTGCGTTGCCTCACTCCCTGACCGTCAAGGAAGTTTGTACCTGAACTGAGAGTTGGGGCATGGGTACAAACACACACTCCAACTCATTGACATGTCATTGACATGTCATCAACTGATTAGGCTCAGGGCATCTCATGACTCATTCAAACATCAAAACCTTCGAACATGGTGATCAAAGGGACGAGAATCCTCCATTGGGCACTCCAGGTTCCTCCGCCCACCGATCCAATCGAGGCCTCCGGGGCCCTCCGCCCACCGGTGGTGTCCGATCGGCCCATCACCGATTGGTGGATCGTTGCATCGATGAAGGTGTTTGAAGGTGTTTCCTAGTAGTACGGCCAGGAGCCCCTAGTAGCGTCCTTGCTCCTAGTAGCGATGCCAGGAGCCCCTACTGTAGTAGCTTCTTGTTCCTAGTAGAATAATAGAAATACATCCAAAGACTTCCAAAGACTCTTCGACATACACATGCTATCTCATGCTCATATAAGGGTCTCGTGCAAGCACAATGCTTTCTTGTGTCTTTAGGAAGACAACGCAAATCGCTCGAGCAGACCTCCTAGGTCGGCTCTGCAATGGGTCCAATGGCCCTATTGGGTGGAGCAGCCTTGACGCTGGCGCGGAGGGAAAACTGAAGATATGACAGTTGAGACGGAAAACTTGGAAAATCGGTTGACCTTTTCTTTTTGCTCGGGGGGGAGGGGGGGATAGGCCGCTAGAGGTAGGTAGCTAGTAACTGAGGTAGCTACTACCTAACAAGTAAGCTACTAGTAGCTGGACGCAGGATAGCTCACGCTTCTTCAAGGAAGCTCCCCCCGCCGCCCTTGAAGAAGCGCTTGCACTAATGATTCGGTTCCTAGATGTTTAATACCCTCAACTACTAGGATCTGGAAGGGGTGACCCTAGGTCTGAAATGGTAACGTGTTCATTGTAGACCTTTGTTATGTGACCATTGTAGACCTTGAGGACCGGACCTTGGATGATGGTATTCCCATTTTGAGTCCCACCATCATAGACCCCTTCTGGAATTCCCCGAGGAGTAGGTCTAACACCTTAGCGCGATTTGACCAAAGTCCTAGGGAATAAGCCCACGATTTGGGGTCTACAACGCAACCGCCCAGAGTCCCCAGTAGTTAAGGGTCAATTTTTTAGGGAGAATTAACATTAGAAAGTCGGTTGTGACGGGTTGTAGAGATGCCAAGAGATTGTAGAAGATGCCTGTTCTTTGTCTTGTGAACATGTCAATTCTATTCAATTCTACACTTCAAGATCAAGGACCCCAGCATGACCGCCGCCGTCGTGAGGCCTCTATAGCCTGCTTGTCTTTCCTCATCGCCGGCGACTCAATCATTGAGTCTAAGTGGTCAATCTTTGATCACAGCTTGGACCGGGTCATTGCTTTTGTCAAGCACTCTAGCCTCTGTCCTTACAAATATGGGAGGTGATGGCACGGAAAGAGATGGGGAGATGGATAGATGAATGTGCCAAGACCGCGTCCAACAGTTTAGCCTCGCATCAACGCCACACAACGCCACTCCAAGCTGTCACATGCACTATGCGTGCCAGAAGATGTGATGCAGTCTATCAGTCAAAGAAGAATGCATCGCGCTCGCACACTGTTGTATGCTTTTGATACCCGAAGTTCAATAAGACCATGTAGTAAATCCATACTCACATACTCACTGAGTTTTGAAGCAGTGATAAGCAGTGTAAGGGGCAGGGTTGGCGCTTGCTTTCTCAAAAGGGATCTCTGGCGAATTGGCCAGGGGAAGACAAGATGAATCAAGATGATATCACACTATATCAAGATGACAATCCGGCATCACTAGATTTCAGCTTTTGGCCATGTGCCGAAAATTGTCTCCAAATGGAGGGCTTGCAACGACCCTCTCACTGAACCTGCAGCTGAGCACTTCTCACCAAATCCTATCGCAGCGAGGGAACGAGATGGTCGGACCATGCACATCGCAATGTCTTTTTCCGCGTCCGCGAGGTTTGTTGGAGGGAGTGTTTTGTTATGTCTTGCTCGGACACCTGTGTGTTCCAGTCTTGAGATGTCTTGAGGCAATCGTGATCGTTATTGTGCAGAGGCACGGTGGGTTTGGATCAGGTTTGGATCAGGGCACTGGGGCACCTGTGGCAGGTGTGAAGCCACGAGCAAGGACGCACTCGGAGATTTGATGCAGGCTCTAAAATGGCCTCGAAGACATTTTTTATTGTCCCCTTTGCTGTATCGGGAGTCCAGCGATGATTCTCAGCCTTCGTGGCCTGAAGATAGACTGTGTTTCACCTGCCGACCTCCCTCGATTTCAGGCGCTGCCTGCACTGTACACGACGATGGCGTCGGCTCTACCGACTGCTGGAACGCTCGGCAGTCCACGAGTTGAGATGAGCACGGTGGGAAGAGCATGTCGCCATGTCCATGAGTTTTGCGTAGTTTTGCAATGCGGTGCAGCTTTCTTGCTTGTCATGGCGATCAAGCCCACACTGAGCCGATGAGTTCATTCAAGAAAGTCCGACTTCCCAAGAAATCCCGCATCGGAATGCTACTAGGAACAAGTGCATCGCCTCTAGCAACAGGTGCCTTACTACTAGTAACAAGAAACTATTAGAAACAAGAAGCTATATACTAGGAACAAGATGGAACAAGTGCATTTCTCCCTGAGCCGATTCGCCACGTGCATCCACGCCCCCGAGGCGTAGCTTGCAGCGGCGGCCGTACCTCATCAGCGCCGCCTTTGGCGACTCAGGGCCTTGCTGTGCGCCAAAAGGGCTTACACATGCTTACACGATCTTATTGACAAGTCACCTGGAAAACTCTTGAAGTCTATTCTAGGTGACTTTGTGTGTCATTTGCATTCAGAAATTCATTGGTTCTATTTAGTTCTCTAAAGTGTGGCAAATAAAGCCCTTTTCTATCCTGCTCTCAAACAATCCATAGCATTTGGAGGTTGTCTAATCAGGCAGTCCCATTTTGGAAGTGGCAGCTCTGCGCCCAGCATTTGCTCCGTGACAAGCACCGCCCTGGAAGGTATTTGTTTGGGCGATTCTGATTCTCGAGACGCTTTGATCGCCTTGTTACCTTGCAGGCGAGTGAATGGAACAAGGGGGGCAGGTGAGCAAGAGTACATGGGAAGATTCGGGCCGGCAAATGGACTATGCCACATCCTGCAAGGAAGGTTCAGGGTAGTTGTTCGTTTTGTTTTCCTTGTTGAGCGATTGATTATATAAAGGGTACCTGCCTCTGAAATCAAGCTGATACACAACGGTTTCAAGGTCTTGTGAACTTCTCCTAACAGCACGGCGGTTTCTGAGCCCTTGGCTGGAGCTTCACCCGTTTTGGCCGTTTCGGGTCGGTTTCGAGATATACTTTCGGAAGCAGTTTGGGTTGAATAGCGTAAAGCACAGATCTGTGTCCTCTTTGTCCTTAGAGCCTGGGTTCTTTGGGTTCAAACCTCGTGGTTTGGTGCCCAAACTGCTGCAGGCATGCACTGCATGCTACTTGCTATGCGAGCTGGGTGAGCGCAGACGCGTGACCACCCGCAGTCGCAAGACGGGCACCGAAGGATGTTGGAACAGTACTTCTTGCTTACACCTTTGGAAACCACAGAGGAGCTCGATGTACAACCAGGGTTTGTTTGGTCATCCGCTTTGGCCAACAATCTCTTAAGCCCGCCTTCCCCGGGTCGAAACCATGAAGCCACGGAAAATGCCCAGGTATCCCTCCTCCAGTCTGATCTGTCCCGTTTGCCGCTGCCGAGCAGATTCGATAGGCGTGGGTTTGAGACGAGACCTTGGTAGGCTAGACAGAAGTGGAGCTACCCATGCAACTACAATGTTGGATATGCAATTCTGCAGGCCTTGTGAAGGATCTTGGGTGTGGTACATTGCACAGAGGTGTGAAATATGTATGCTCTTGATTGTTCTATATTGTTCTTGTGTTTCTGACAGTAGTTCTACAATACAATGAGCGGCTTTGATTGCTGAAGTTGCTGAACATCAACGCGTAAGATTTTGAAATTGTTGACATCAACTGGGGACATTTGGGAACATGTTTATAAATATAATATTGGGTGTCACTGCTCCTCACTTGTAGACCCCATTGCTGTTCGATCCAACCTTTTCGACAGAATGGTCTGCATAATTGTTAATGATTTGGACCCTCACAACCATCCAGGTAAACTCTCCCCAATCGAAACTGCTTAAAATATGTAAATAACAATAACATATAATTGTAATATATACAAAAATAGTTATTGTTGTATATATATATATAGTAATTAGATTGAATTTAATCTATAATATGTTAAAAGGGCACAATGTTCTCTATTTATATATTTATATGAATTATATTTTAAAAAAATATATATATATTATCTTATAATTATGATGATTTTATCGATTGGGTGATATAAGGATAGTATATTCTATATTTGGTGGTAGTATAGGTTTTATATAATTAATTGAATGAAAATTGGTGTTATTTAATCGTTGGTGACGTATTCTACCGGCTATTATGATTAAAGTAATCTTGGCTATTTAATATGTTAAGTAGGGATAGGAAAAATTACGTAGTTTAATCGTTAAAGGTATAGGTGTTATTTTGCATTGGATTTTTGGTTGGGGATGGTTAGGAAATTTTATTTTAAACATTTGATATTTGGGAAAGATTGGAATATTTTTTCTTTAAAATATATTATATATTTAAAAAATGTATATAAACAAAAATATATAAAAATATTGATGTTATTTGTTTTGGAGTTGAAAAGAAAAGATGAAATGGGGATTAATTTTATGTAAGCCGATTTGAAAAATAGAATTATATAATATAAATCGAATGAGGAATATTTATGAGATATGTCGGTTAGGCGGTAGATTATATTTTTTTGATTTTATTTTTTTTAAATATAGATATAATATTATATGGGGAAATTTAATATTATTAAAAATTTATTTATAATATAATAATTTGAATTGTAATATTATTATAGTTTTTTATTCGAAAAAATTTTTTTCGAAATGTCGTAATATCCATAAATGAAAAAGGTTTAAAGGTTCGTGCGGCCTTTTGAACTTGTATCTTGAGCTATAGGCGGTCGTTCATGTTTGTGTACGAGTTAAATTTGCTGGACGAATTGATGGATTAATTGCATGAAATGTGGTTGTTAGCGGGTTAACATGTTCCATTTCACACCTATATTCTTTCTTGATTCGCAATCCATTCAAATTGGGTGACATATCGACTTCAAAGTCGTCTATTAGCCTCCTTAGGCCATCATGTTTTATCCCTTTGGTTAAGGGAAAATTCTATTCATGGTAATTGGGGCTTTGGTTTTTGCAATTGGGGTTTTG